GGTACGCCCATACCATGGGATAATACTCGCACTCAAAAGGAACTATTTTGATACAATAGACACACACAACAATCCAGAGCATTATGTTAAATGTAAAAAGCCAATCCCAAGAGGTTACATACTATTATTTCCAGTTACATAACATTATCAAAATCAAAAAGATATAAAAATGGAGAAGAGATATGGTTGCCAAGGGTTAAGGAGGGAGTGAAGTGGGTATGGCTATAGAAGGCAACAAGAGGGACCGTTGTGCTGGAAAATGCTCTGTATGGAAATGTTCTCTACCTTGACTGTTCCGATGCCAATATCCTGGTTGTGATATTATACCATAGTATTGCAAGATGTTCACTTTGTGGTAAACTAAATGAAAGATACCTGAGAGAGAGCTCCATATTATTTCTTACAAGTACATGTGAATATAGTTATCTGAAATAAAAGTTTAATTAAAATATTAGCATTAAATATATTTTATACTTTACAGAGAATGGGCTCTTTGTTTAAAACTTCCATGCCATTCCAAAGAAAAGTGTTGGTCACTTGCCTCCATTCCAGATTTTAAAAAAATTTAATACAACATAGAAAGTTTCTAAATTATTAAGAAAAATGTTTGACCACAGACCAGGAAAAGACATAAAGACAACAGGGCAGGTCTAATTTTGAACAAGAAATATTCTATTGCATCCAAGATAGAACTAATATGAATATTACTAAGGTTATCTTACTAACTTTTGGTATATACCCCCACTGCAAGATAATAGTAATAATTAAATGTTAAAACCATGGTAAACTTTAGTGAAGTTAAAACATTAAATTTGGCCCTGGAAAGAGGTCAGATGTAGTCTGGCACACTGAAAACGCCTTGAAATGAACTCAAAATGACCACAGCACCTAAGTTTAAAAAAAGAATAAAATAAAATATTCTCCACTAAAATTTGGCTTTATTATTACTGACAGGAGAATCAGCTTTGATATGAAAGCCATCAAGTCTTTAGCTATGCAAGTTATTAAAAAAGCAAAAACCTGCATCTTATTATTGGGCCAAAACTCTAATTTTCTAGAAAATAGATTCTCTTTCTCCTAGTCTAAGCTCAGTATTTCGGGTCTACCATTACACATTTGAAATAAAACTTCCTGAAAGTGAAACTAGGGATGAGTGAAGTCTTAGTTGAGGCTAAATAGCTGCATTTCTAAGTCTTCTACCAATGCTAATAGGTTTCGGAGTTAGTAACTACTGTCTAACAGTACTTACAGTAAACACTTAAAAATTTGTACTTTGGGTTGGCCAAAGTGGGAATTAATGCCCTTTCAAGTTTATTTAAAGACGCAGTTCAGTTCTAGCAGACTCCCTCTAAAACAAATAGGAGTGTTATGCACGTAACAACTGCACAGGAAATCTGGTTTTGCCTTCACCACTTACATTCTAAGCAGAAAGGCCATCACTACACAAAACCTACAGGAATCCCACTCTGAGTAATTAAGTGACCAACCTCTTAAAAACTTGCCAGAAGCAACAGTGTCTGTAAAACCTATTTAGTGTGTTATTTAGTTCTATTTCTGCATTCAAAATTAAGATTGTTTGGAGATAAATATTACATAATTTTCATGGCAACCAAATGATTACCAAAACAAAGAATTAAAATTGGCGTATCAGTTCAGTATTTGAATTATGAGAAAATGGCATGAGCCATTAGCATGAGCCATTAGGAGAGTTTTCTTCTTTATTCCCTTTTGATTAAAAAAAATTTGCCAAGGGATGGGATAGGGTTAAATTTAAAACACTTTAAGTTATATTTTACAAGAAGCATACTTAATGCTTTTGCTGAGTGCTTTCTGACGAAATACAGAACCAAATTCCCATCAGCTCTCACCCTTCTTTCCAGCACTTTGCCCTCTATTGGGAGCAATAACTCTATACATGTGCTACAAATGTCAGCCCTGACTAACAGGATGCCCTAGCTCTGAATCCAGCCACAGCCACCAAAATAGCTCCTTTCTGGAGACATCACACACAGATTATGACTCATTTAGTAGCTCATCTTTAGAAAACTAGCAATTTACTAGTAGTCTATTAGTTGAGAAAAGAAAATGAAATTCAATTAATTGCTAAGGGGAAAATAGGATAAACAGGAGGTTGGTTCTTAAGAGCGAATAGTGCCCAAATGACAGGTACTAGGTGATCCAGAAGGTGATGAATTAATTCTCACACATTCTCTTCCTTCCTTGCCTCCTTCTGAAATTTCTCACCTGGCACTTTCTTTAACATATTAAGTGTTTTTATATGCCAAATGCCAAACATAAGCTCCCTGAGGGCAGGGACCATATTCTTTAGGTTCACTCTTGAAGCTTCTGTGCCCAGCCATGTAGCAGCCTGGCAAAACACTGACCCCAAATAAGTGCAACATTAAGTATTTATTGAGCAACTACTATGGGAGGGAGGGAAGAAAGAAAGGAAGGAAGGAAACTGCTAGGTTTTGGGGTCCTGGGGTCTTCGGATTTTGTTTTGGCTGGAAAAATTGACCAGTTTACCATCTAGAAGCAGTGCTTCTAAATTTTTCCATCAAAGAAACCCTAATGGAAGAGAAGAGATTCTGGTTCATGTGATTTATACTCTCACTGTTTATCACAGTGCTTGTTTCACTATTGTGCTGGACTGTCACCTCAACATCATTGCTCTCTACTTTCTAGAATGTCCTCCAGATTGCAGGGAAAGCCAGAAACTACACTTCCCACAAACTTCTTTGCTCTCTGTTTCTAAGTTAAGAGTTAACCAAAGAGAAACATTTCCATGAAATGTGGAAGGCAGAGAAAAGGAGAGGCTGTCCTTCCTCCAAGGCTGTGTGGGCAGGCAGCGGACAAGGGTTTCACGGCAACTTCAAGATCTCTTGCAAGGAGCCTGCTTTGGTGCTCTTAACAGCTGAGACAGCTGGTGACAGCTCCTTGAGACTCACAGTGTCAGTGCTGCAGGCTGAGACAGCAGAAGCTTCTGGATGTCAAGATTCACAGCAGTCCCTGGGGAAGCTCCTGAGATCCACCACCCACTTTCGTGCTGCAGATACCTCCCTCACCCACCCTTCTGACGTTGGAAGCTTCTAATTCCATATATATTAAAACATTTTACACTTAGGGTGCATCAAGTGGTTAGTTTTCCTAACCGAAATGTTGAAATATTTAACGTTAGCATTAAAGAAAAAAGTTTCCTACCTGTCTTGTTAACTTAGTGAAAGATGCTGCTTCATGGAGTCTACTGACATCAGAAAATCCAGCTGAAATGAAGAAAGATAACCCTGCATGTTCGGCAACCATGCAATTTCTTTTCCTATCTCCAGGCAGTTTGTGTCACAGTATTTTGAGGACATAAATTTCTAAATACTTGGGAAAAATGGTTTTATCTTCATTGATTTATAAACTATGTCAGGGCAGTTGTTAAGCAGAGATGTCATGGATTTTGTCAGAGAAGTGGTACACTGCAACACTTTCAGGCTCCTGCTGGTGTAAAATCTGGTAAATGTGTTTCCTTGTTGGCAGGTCAAACTGCTAAAATCTTATGGTAGACCTAATAGGTCTGAGAATCACAGGTTCATTTTTTTTTTAAACGAATCATGAAAATACACAATATTTTTTTTGAGGAAAAAAAATGACTGATGTTCTTTATTTACTATTAATACTAATAAGCTGAAAATGTCATTCAACTCATAAATTTCCCAATCAACTTGCTTTAGCCCATTCTGAAACTTTATTTATATTGCAGCAAACTGGCCACATGTATGAAATACATTCAATTCTGACTTTCAAAAAATGCTGAATTAGTTATCCTTTTGAATCTTAGCTATAAAGGTGGACAATGACTTTATTTTCTTTATACATGTTTTATCGTTTATTATGACATTCCTTTTTCTACATGAGATACAAATAAAAATTACACCAACTACAGAAACTATTCTGTACTTGATAAACCACAGACCTATTTCATGGAGGAAGAGGCCTTTAAAGTCATTTTTCTTCATGATAGGTTTGTCTAAAAAATGGATATTCAAGACACAACTTTTTTTGTGCACAAAATTTCACCATTTTTAAGAAAAGCAGTGAAGACACTTTACAACCCAGTGGCCACCTCTTCAAGGTGCAGTGTTCTTGGTCGTCGACGCAGATGCTGCCGGGGTACCCAGCGAGCCTGACTCCAGACACCACGTCCACGGCGGCTATCCTAGACTGAGCTCCATCTGTGCCCACATCTATACTTTTTTTAATACATGATCCCATGCCTACTGAAAAACAAGTCACACTATACTGAAATGACACCAGTTACTCTTTTGCCAGCCATCATTTTGCAAAACCAAAACATTTTTGTAATATTTAATGACCAAAACAATAGCCAAATACTTAATGCCACATTGTCATTGAACTTGTGAGGCTGATTAATCTCAATTTGTGTTCAAGTATTTCCTTTGAACACACTAAAATGAACACATGTCACTTGATAAGGAAACTTCTTCAGTTTGACTCAAACAGATTAGACACACTATCCATCATGAAAACAACTCTATTTTTATTTTCCATAGTGTAATCTTCACCATTCACAGCAACTCTAAAACTGGCCTAAGGGAAAACTTCAAGAATTTTTTATTTGGCTACTGTATTATTTTTTTCATTTAATTTTTTCTAATCAAGACTGCTTTTTTTGTGTTTCAAATATTTTGTGTAAATTTCTCCCTCAAAGTTTCTTAAGAGAATGCAAGCCACTAAACTTCCTGTTTTAAATCACTGATCAGTATCCCAGTTAAAGCAATAATTTAAAATTATTACTTTAAATAAAGGTACTAAAATTATGCCAAGTTTTAAGTGCTTTTGTTGTTACTGGGAACTCATTGTGAAATGAAAAGAAGTAAATGTACTTGGCTAGTGTAAGAATACACATTTTATCAAGTACAACTGTGGCAAAAAAACCATTGAACTGATTTGTGGAAGCCATCAGGACTTTTATAAAGACATAAGATGGTAGTTTAGCACAGGAAACAGCATGCACCTCTGAGCAATTGCAAAGAAAGACCACGTCCGAGCAGGCCTGGTGGGCTGGCACTGACATCAGAACGGGGGATATTTGTGTGAATTCTCTGGCAACGTGAAGGCTCTAAGTTCCAATCACTCATTCTCGAAAAGTCTCCTATAGTCTCTTTTGTGGAAAAAAAATTGAGTTTTGCTGACATGCAAAAGGCAGCTTCTACCTATTAGAGACAAAATAGATAAAATTATTGATTCCCCCAAATAAAAACTTTGGGTAAACCAATGCTCCAGAAAGATGTAAAATGGCTACAGTGCATGTGGTTACATCTGCAGTGTGGAGACTTCAGGTAGCACAGCACCACATGGGAGGTAAGCGCTGGTCTCCTGGAAGGAAGAGTCCTCATGAAACAGGCCTACCCAGAGACCTTTTAAATCACCTTTATTTTGGTTGCAAAGATACAGTTTACTTAGTTTCTTAATGTTTTATTTGTTCCCATTTGAAGTCTCAGTCAGAGCTTGCCCATGTTAAACATTGCCTCCACTACCAAACTGCTATATAAGAACATTATAAAATATAAACTATAAACTGAGATAATGCTCTTTATAGTATTTAGATTAGTGCATGAAAACAACAGTGATTTAAAAAGGCAGATGAGTCAACTGGCAAACATCCAATTGCTTTTCTAATGAAGGATGATATAATACAAAAGGGCACACAAGGTAAACACTAAATTTTAAGTGTCAGGTGCTCAAAAACAGTAATTGTGAGGAAGTTACTTCCCAACGGTAATTTTGACCCAAAGATACTTATGTAACCATTATTCTATAGGACATAGGGAAGGTAAGTAATTGTTAAGATAGTTCAGTGAAATAACAAGTTGGGATCTTTAGAATCTAAACACAATAGATTTTGGTGTTGATTTTTCACACTCTCCTTCCAAATTACATTAAACATTTATAGTAACTACACTTTCCCTAGTAAACATCAGACTTAAATAGACCATATGTAAAAACAATCTATCCTTAGTAATTTTACTAAGCAATCTACAGCAATGCTTAATATATATACATCACGGGTATGAAATATACTAAGTTATTCACTCATTTCATTCAGAGTAAACAAGGGTTTTAAAAGAAAACAGTAAAAGTGAAATAGATAATTTGTGCTGTTGTGAACCAGGGGGAAAAAAAAACACAAAAAGACATGTTAATATTTTTAAGTTATTGAGAATATTTTCTCTGCTGAACTGAGTCAAAATTAAATATGAGATTTTTTAATTGAAGTAACACATATCTGGGTGCATGTTACATAGTGACAGAGAGATGCACACAGAATACACACATCTTTAAATTT